TGTTGGAAAGAAGATTGGTTCGCATTTCTCGTTTGTTGCCTGGATTTATTCCCTTTTTTAGCTTTCGTATTTCTCAATTCTTCTCTGTCCCTCAACTTATCCACCTAAACCTTTTTCACATGAATCATCAACCTCGCTATACCTATATCACCTATAACCATAGTTGTCTTACCTTCCTTGCTCGACAAACGAGATGAACCAACAATAAACAAACTGATCCTACTCTTCATATTCGCAACCATCTTTGAAGCATCACGGGAAAACTAGTTGAACTTAAGTATATATTCATGAATACTTATAGATTCCTTTTTAAGGTTAAGGAATTATCGTACCTTTGATTCTCTTAGTTCCCGGTGAAAGTAACGCCCTAAGAAAGTTTCCTCAAACATAAACCAACTCAAATTGGTGCACGCTCATCTCTTGACTTCTTTCATTGGTCAAACCATATTCTAGTGATAACCTTCAACTGGTGTGCATCTAGTTCCACTCTTTCAACATTAGTGACATGCATAATATTGAATACCTTCTCAAGTTCTTCGACAAAATTTTCCTGATCCTCAGTGATGCTTGAACCAGTGAAACTCGAAGAGTTATCCTTAGAAACTCACGATTATAGAAGTATCAGCCACTACCTGAAGATTCTCTCTTTGTTTCCTACTTGGTTGGTCAGAACTTGGCTCAACATCCTGATGGCCTCACGGAACTCAGCATTGGTGACCTAAGCTTGAGGTTGAAATTCTGGTGCATTCACTAACCCTTGTTCCTCAATGTTCCTTGTTAACCAGGTGACAATGGATAGATCTTCGAGAAGGAATGATCTAAAAGATACGCGCAAGCATGATTTGGAAGAAATTTGTATAGAGATAAACCCAATGGCACGAAATGAGTATGATAAGGAGAAAAATCCTAAAATGTTGCAGCCTCATAATTATAGATGTGACGTGCTTCAAACCAATAACTAGGACTCTATAGATACGTCTTCATAGACTCCTTGAGAATCTTGAACTCAGGGCTCAGATACAAAGTTTGTCATGTTCCGAGCATACACCATGGACGTGTCAGGTACTCAAGAACCATTACAACCCCCATACGAACCCTTGGATTGGCGCAACTCTTAGCGGAAGACTAACTCATAACTTAGAATGTATCAAATAAGATCGGCTTAAAATGTAAACTACATTTCTCAATATAAAACTTTGAATGTATTAAATGACACTCGACTTAGCCGTAATGGCAACTCAAAGTTCAACATATATCCATTAACAAGATAATGACAATTAAACGAACTACCAATTGTCTATAAAGCCTCTAATAACTAAGACATATGTCGACTCAATATATGTTAACTGTATCATTTTATGATGCAGGCTTAAAGGCATCAGTACATTGAATGGACAAGCATTTAAGGGGGAAACTAAACACAACATAAACTTGAACTGAATTTGAGAAGAAATTTCACTCAACTCATAGATACTTAACTCAAATGCAAGATAAAACAACAATAAGGTGCAGCTTATATAAGGCATTTAAACAGTAGTAACAACTCGATCTACTCATAAATTAAAGTAACATAATTCTATGTGAGTTTTTCTTACCGACAACCATCACTACGAGCTAATGTGGTTATGAAACCTCCCACCCATGCTTCCAGAACTATCATATAACTTACCAGGATGTAGAACGCCTTAACTAAGTGGATTCACTAGTCTATGCTAAAACCACTAAGTGTCATCTAAAAAGTTTGACACTTTCTACCCACGATGGCTGCATGATTAATGGAGACTTGAGTTATTGTGAACTTGTCTGCATATTGATTCTCAATACTACTCCCAAAATAGACTGAGCTCATATGTTTTAAAACAAAACACTTTCTTTGATTTGAGGTAATTACTCAAAAAGCTTATCTCTTAAAAGAGATGTAACTCAAAACTACTCATGAGAACTCATTTGGGAATTAGTGTTTCCTCTTATCTTAAAATATTTGCTATTTGTGATAGCTTAGTTCCCATATATCATTTAATGAAATTAACTTCACTCTTTGCTCTTTACTCAACTCAAAAATCAAGTCTTAAAGCAAATTTAAAACATTTGTGAAAGAATTTTGCAAAACTCTATGAACTTCTCTTGACTTGACTCTTTACTTTCCTTGAATTGAATTATGGATATAAGACTCATGTCTCATGTTATTTAGACATACCTTAGAGTGTAAAGACCGATTAGAAAACTTAGTACACTGCAGGGGAACTTAAACGGAAATAAGTCGGTAAAAGTTGAAGGCCTGACAACCCTAGTGCTCTGAGTGGCAGAGGGCACTAGAGCCTGACTACTGAGCATGGCTTGGGGGGCACCAATTGGCACGATGCCTAGAGGAAAACTTGTAGAGCCTTATGTTGGGTGAATTCTCTTGGTCGTTTTTAAACTCTAAACCCTCTGGATTCATTTTGCTCTTTCCCCAAACACTTACATTCAACAAAATAACCAAAATATGAAAGAATCTACTCAAAACAACATTTAATTTCATGAACTTAGATCAAGAACTTCTCTACAACTTCAACAATCAAGAACCAATGGAAACTTTATAAGAGTCCATCAAGAACCCAATTTCTATACATTTAAGAACATAAATTCACTAAAATAAATCAATATTGGCACGTGGGTAAATTAAACAACACTATACAATCTGACATACCTTGTAGGGATTAACCCTTAGCAAAATCCACAAGCAATTCTCCATGAATGCGACGATTTTTTAGCTTCTTCTCCCCTTCTTTTCTTTTCTCTTAAAACCCTAGGTTTATTTTATGATGCACAAATTGAATCAAACAAATTAGACCCTAATTGAATCACTAAAAGTGAAACTAAATCATTTTTAATTCTAATATCTCATTTTGACTTTCCTTATCTAGACAACCTGATTTTCAATGGGCATAGCTCCCTCATACGAACTCACAATTGAGCAAACTCAGCGGAGTAGGAAATATAATTTAAAGATATTCTCTATAGTATCTTGCAGCAGACCTAAATCTTCCTTAACTAGGAGGTATGGTTGTTTGAAGTTGATAACGTAAATGTATTATATAAGATTCGACTTAAACATATTGGAAACTCAAAATTCAACATAATCCAATAACAAGATAATGACAATTAAATGGACTAACTAACCGTCTATGAAGCCTCTTATAGCTGAGATGGGTGTCGGAAACAGACTCATGACATCCTAATGAACTAAAATTCTATAAAAAAACAATAAAATTGGATCCTTCGAAAGCAAGGAGCCTCACCAACGAACTATAAATGATCGAACGGATCAACGAGGCGCTTGATGCTGATCCTTATTTCCTGTATTTGTATCATAACGATGCATGCTAAAATTCGTCAGTACATTGAATTTACAAGCATGTGAGGGGAAAACTAAACACAACATAAGCATGAAATAAATTTGAAAAGAACACTTACCTTAGATTTACTCAACTCATGGGTACTTAACTCAAATGCAAAATAAAACAACAGTAAAGGTGCAATTTCTATAAAGCATTTAAATAGTAATAACAACTCAATTTACTTTTATAATAAAGTAAAATAATTATGTAGGAGATTCTATAACGGACGACCATCACTATGAGCTAATATGATTATACAACGTCTCGTCACACTGCCAGAAATGTTCTATAACTTATCAGGATATAGAACACCTCAACTAACTAGATCCACTAGTCTATACTAAAAAGCATTAGGTGTCATCTCAAAAGGATGACCCTTTTCACCCACAATGACTACATGGTTTGTGGAGACTTGAATGATTATGAACTTGTCTCTGTGCCTAATATTAGTCCCAAAATATACTCAAATCATATTTTTTTAAAACAAAACTCTTTTTTGTGATTTGAGGTAATTACTCAAAAAGCTTATCTCTTACTAGATATGGAACTCAAAACGATTCGTGAGAACTCATTTGGAAATTGATGTTTCCTCTAATATTTAAATGTGGCAACATTTTTTCTTTGGGAAAACTTAGTTCCTATATATCCTTTAAAGAAATGAACTTCCATTGTACTCTTTACTCAACCTAATACTCAAGTCTTAAACAAATTTAAAATTTTTGTGAAAGAATTTTAGAAAACTCTATGAACTTCTCTAGCCTTGACTCTTTACTTTATTATGGATTAAAGGCTCATGATCTAATGTTATGGATGTTCTCACTTTTTTAGATGTACCTTAGAGTTTAGAAATTGATTAAAAACTTAGGTACGATGCAAGGGAACTCAAACGGAAAGAAGTGGTCAAAAGTGGAAGACTTAGAACGCCTAGTGTTCTGAGTGGAACAGGGCACCATGCTGAACTACCTGGCATTGCTTGGGGTGCACCGGAGTTCCGGCGCCTTAGAGGACAAATTTTAGAGATTGATGTGTGGCACTCAGAGTGGCACAATGCCTGAACCCCTTCCCCAGATAATTGACGAATTCTTTTAGTTGTTTTTCAACTCTAAACCCTCTAGATTCAATTATTTCTTTCCCCCAAACTATTATATTCAACTACATAACAAAAAAAAATACTAGAATCAACTCTGTTTTATCGAAAAAATTGAAAGAGTTTATTTATTTTGTTTTAAGATATTTTTGACTTTTTAGGGAGTCGCCACTTAATTTTTTAAGAGAAATTAAGAAAATTGTTTTCAAATAACTTAAACAGAAAAATTGTTTGAAAACATTTAAAAGGGTTCGGGGATTCTTATTAACGTCTTAGGAATGTTTTGAAGGCACCTAAGACGTTCCGCTTAATGCGGCTTTCCGACAACTAACCATTTGACTAATATTATTTTTTAAGATTTGCGAATTTTATTTGAAGTTAAACTTCCTAAAATTTAAATCTAAGCGAACTTGCGAATTTCGAACATTATTGTTTTAAAATTTAGTTTAGTTTTAAGTTTGATAAATAGTATGACTTTCAATGGGGATTGGAGTTTTCCTAATCCTAAGCTAATGGCATTCAAACAAAGCATGTAAACAATATAGTAAAGAGGGAGAGAGAGAGAGATTGGGTCCAATTTCGGGTTCTGTCTGCCTTGACCGAAATTTGGATCCACCTGCTTTTTGGGTTTTTAACCTATTTCTCGTTTGGGTTTTCGACCCACTTCAGTCTAAACATACAAAATAAATACAAGGTAAAAATGAGAAGGGCGTATGCCCAAAATAAATACAACATAATAAATTAAAAAAAATCTTCCAATCCGCCTTCTGTGACTTTCTTCGATTCTTTTCACTTTGGTATCTGTAAGCCTTTCGGAACTATTTCTTCTATTTTGCAAGCTTATTAGAATATGGAGATTCGGTCCTTTGTGTCCCAATGAGAAAATGCATAGACAAAGTCCGTGAGGACCGGAACATATTTCACAAGCAGAAGGACAAACAAATAATTAAAATTTGCATTTTTATTAGAAAAGATAATACATGATAAGATAAAATAGATACTTAAATGGAACATCACGTTGACATGAACATAGAATTTTAAGTAAAACAAATAGTAATGGATGCCGACATATCACTTGAGAATCAACGGAGCTCTACTCGTACTATTCGAAGCATGAGATATGATGCCACAAACGTATGAAAAGAGTCGAATCACGTGCATTCATAGAAGGAAATATATAGAATCAATGAACTGCCACTTTTTATACAAAATTTTAAACGAATAAGAAAAAGAAGACTCTACCCAACTATTATATATATATGTATACCCACATATGAAAATATTGCATCAGGCTAAAGGATTGAAGCAATGGATTTGATTACTTTTCACTGAAGAAACATAATAGAAAATGTCAACTTACAACAAATCCAAAGTAACATAAGTATATTTTTTTTTCTAAAATACAGCGGATGAAAACTGAAGAAACAAACATATTCGCATTATTATTACGTATTATAGTTGAGGAAGGTCACAGCAAAATGGAATGACATAAAATAAGCATGTTAAACATGGACCAACAGCGCATAATATCAACGAGAATCGCAAAAAAAAAATTCGCTTCTATATATGAGCAAGATGGAATTTGACATTTTTACTACTTCCAGTATGGAATGGGGGAAGAAACGACATGCTTCAACACTCGAAACAGAAAAAAATATCACAAAGAACAAAATAGAACTACACTGATATTTCAAGAATCTGATTGTAGCACTCAAACAAATGAACGGAGGAAGTGATAAAATTGGCAATGAAAGCATAAGATGCGACTTGACGGATGACAACTAAATAAACTTAACACAAGGAGAAACAAAGATGAAAACAAACACGAAGCCATTGGGTCAAAGCGTAAACAGACCAACCATGAATACTCACATTCGAGTATCTCAACACAACTTGACCCAAAAACGAAACAAAGGAACAACAAATTGGTGAACAGAAACACATATAACGATTTAGAATATCACTAGAGAAAATCGACAGTCACAGCTAAAAACCATCGCATTAAAGCAACAAAGATGAGGTAAGTTCGAAAGAGGTAAACCGTACCTTTTTGGGTGCAGCAAGACTGAGACGAGAACGAGCAGCATCAGCAACAACCTCCACCCCAAACGAAAACACGAACACCAAATGACGAAACGAAAGCCGCTAGATCGATTAGCTCACCAATCTGTTGATCACTTGTTTCGCACGATCTTGGAAACCCTTTCTAAGATATCTTGAAACTCTTCTCAAAAAGTTTGAACAGAAAAAAATGATAGAGAGAAAAGAAATCCTCCGCTCAAATCTACCCAAAAAAAATTTCCAACCTCTGTAATTCTCCTTTAGGTCTTCCGAAATAAACAAGAAAACTGAAAGAATTTTCCCCCAAGAATTTTCCAATCCGTTTTCTGAAGCAAGACGAGAGTTTAAATAGAGGAAAATTAGGGTTTTTCCAAGGGAAATGGCTGGAAGATGCCTTTACACGCCCAAATCTTATCCAAAGGTTGAGGGAATATGCCCTGAAGATGCTCTCGAATTTGTCGCATTCCAACGGAAAGGGAGCACACATAGAGGGATCAGATTAATCGCGTGTCCTTGCACCATTACGTGGAATGATCCTACGCTACAAGGATGGGATTTGCAGCCTTCATTGCTGCAGCTACGCGGGCGTACTGTTGTATGAATCACAGAGGAAGACGACACAAATTTGTTCCTTCACGCGCGATAGAGAGAAGGAGAGAGAGGAGGGTGTTTGGGGGAGGAGTTTACGCGTGAAGGAGACGTGATGGAGGGAGTTTTTCCTGGAAATTTCGCGGCTGCTGTTTCTTGTTTCTGCTGGGAGTCGCATGGGATTTTCGCGTCTGGGCTCTGTTTTTTTTTCTGGGGAAAACGGGTAGGGGAGGAAGAAGGTTGGGTCGGGTCAAAATTTAAGGGGGCTGGGCTGGGTTGAAAAGGGGATTGGGTCGGGTGGAAAGTAGCTTTGGCTGATCTGCTTGGAATAATAAAACTTGGATGGTCTAGGAAATGAATTGGGCTGGAACATTAATTTAAAGGGATAAATGGGCTGGAAAGGGAATTGGGGTTGGCAAGGAAAATGGGCTGGGAATTAAAATAAGTAAAAATTATGTAAATCACATAGTGTAAAACATAAATTACCTTTTATCCCTACTTTTTTCAATTTACAAAAAATCCCTTATTTTTAAGAAGTTTCTGATACATAATAAAACAGTCGGATACATTCTATATTATGTTATTTTATCCGTTTGTTGAGTGATTTGGGGGACTAAAAACTGAAATTTGAATTAATTCCTACTTTTAATATGCTACAGTTATTAATTCCATAAAAAAAAGCATTAACTTGTGTGTTTCAAAATCAGTTTTATCCAATATAAAACTCTAAATTAAATTATAACTTTTCATTAGTGATCTTCCCTTTTTTTTGGCAGACTAATTCTTTTTTTTTG